TTAAAACAACTCATCTTAGCAACGAGTCATTCTGTTCTACTGCAGTTAGAAGTCGATTTTTATTTACACCACTGCCTGAGGTGATTTCCAAGCAAACAGGACATTTGCCCCTTCCTTGTTTCAATAAAGATGATTCTGTTTTGAACCTCACACCTATGTTAACTTATGACACTGAAAAAAACCCAAAGCCTAAACTCTGATTTCAAAGAAGAAAACTGCAGGAAGACAAGGACAAACAGAAACAGGGGTTGTTTTCTGTACAAATGCCCACAGTTTTTGTTTTTCAAGGGAGGGAGGAGCTATGTGGCCCTGTTCCCATTTAATCACTCTAGCAGAAGCCAGTAGGAGCCAGCAACAGCCACATTCCAGTTGCAGTTCCTACATGGCCACCTTCCTTGTTTTGTCTAGTTATCCTGCAAGCTCACTGAAACATGGGAGAGTATTTTAGCAGCGCCCAGTAAAATTGAGCTTCAGGTGTAGTGTGGGTCTTTAAGGGATCCAATAGTATATAAAGTGAAAAAACAACAGCAGCAACAACAAAACACCTCAAAGCCAGCTTAAGTTGAATGAGGAGCTTCAAATTGTCAAGGCTGCAAGAAAGAAGTGAGAAGAAATTCATGCTGGATGTGCCAAGCCCTTAGCCCCGCTGCCGTGTGCATGCATATGTTTTTCATGGTCTTGCCCTTGGAGCTCACACAACCCTTTTGACCAGTTTTCCAAGAAATGCTTCGCCTGAATCGGATCTAGCAATGAAAAATATTAAGTATCCTTAGTGAAGGTGCAGTAAGCTGGAGTAGCAGAGGCCAGTTTTGACTTAACTAGAATGCCCTAAATTCTTTAAGAGACAAAGAACTGATCAAATTGGTTCTACCACCCGTGTGTGCACTACCAGCTCACTGATGATCTCAGGAACTCTTCAACACAAACACCATGCATGCCACACCTCTGACAACCAAAATAATTGGCAGGTGGGGTGCCCTGACCATCCACACCTCAGCTGATCTCAGGAGATACTGTTTCATCTTGGCTGCGGGCACCTGCTTCTGTCTGTGGGTCCTGCCCCACAGTCACACACACCACTCCAACCATGATGGTCGGTGCACACAGTTTTCTGTCACTTTCCCACTACTGTATTTGAATTTGGTTTCATGTCAACTTGGTGATGTTGGGACCTACCCTGAAATGATGCAAGCAAAATTAAGTTCTGCACAGAAAGGCAAGCGTGGACCAATCCTACCCAAGGAACACTGCTTTTTCAAGAAGGTGACACTCTTCTTAGTGTCAAAATTCTACATTTAAATTAGCAAAGATGACCCTCAACAAGCAAAACATCCAGGCTCCTCAAAAATCACCAGTGAAAAGCACAAGCACTTAGCATTTCTGAGAATCAGGCTAAATTTACAACAGACTGAAGGTTTGGGCCTGGCACTAAAACAGGTCTTGCTATCCAGATGCAGTATTAGTCTTTTGTAAAGAATTTTTACTGTCTTTATCCAATTTCCATTCTTAACTATGGCTCTCAGTGAAATTTGTTCCAACTCCCCCAACTTTTTTTCTGCCAGACACTCTTAAACAGAAGGATTATTAAATTCACATTCCAAATCTTTCTCCAATGTTACAACTGCTTTCCCCTTTTGAAGTGCAATTCTCTTCTGCAAAGTAAAGGAAAAATAAAAGGTTTATAAAGATTGGATTTGGATTGTTTCTCCAAAGTCTTTCACAGCAAGATTAGAGTACTCCCAGGCTACAGACACTCTGCCTGGCTATGGGGATCTGATAGTGATATTCAAGACCACTGGTAATAATGATCTCTCTTCTCACCTACAGGAGCACTATCGCCAGACATCTTTGCTGAACTTTGCATAACAGCTGACTGAGCCTGACAGTCAGAAAACAAGACTGTCAAAATTACAACTAACTCTTCCTTCCCCTAGCTGACTAGGTCCTGCAGCTCTAACAAGTACCAGTGACAATAAGAAACTTGGTTTTGTCCCCAAAGCAGGCAAGCACTATGCAGAGGCCACTCAAGAACTGGCCTGGTGACTCACACTGGTGACTCAGGACCATTTTCCCCACAGAGTTAACTCTCAGTATAACACAAATCTTGCCTCTAACTCAAATTCTGGGTGAAGTTTTCAACTCATCTGCAAAGATACTTTTAAGCTTGGCCTGACAAACTACTCAGGACCCCAACTTCAGCTCAAGGTCTGTGGCCTTTCTGGCTGACTTTTCACATCCTGCTGGCCACACACTCGCCTTGCAGCAGGACTGCACCCACACCAGTTAAACTAAAGTCAACATGAGGATTCTCCACATGTGCTAACTTTCCTCTGAGGGCAGGTATGTAGAGGCACTGTTTCTCTAATCCCATTCTTCAGAAAGGTAAACTGCCGAGCTTTTGGTTTTGTCCAAACTCCCTCCACCCTCTTCAATCTCTACAAAGAAAGCCTGTCCATCACCTGTGTTAACAGGATCCCCAAATTCCATGCTGCCTCTGAACACCCACAATGATGATTCTCTCTTGCAGGTCTTGGTGCACTGGGTGAAAAAGCCATCATGCTCCATCACCCCCATTACCATTTGTCATCTAACCGCTTACATAAGCCTGTGACCTCTGAAGTAAAAACATTTACTTGCACTTGGGTAGAGCTGGATGGTTGGAAGAGAACTTGGAGAAAGAAATGATTGAAAAAACAGTCACAAAAGCAAGCTTCCAGAATGTGCCTTTTTGGTTTTCCTTTCAACTTTGCTATTTCCTCCAGTCAACCACTGCTTCTCCATCAAACAAAAAAGTTTCAACGAGCAAAATCAATTTGTTTAACATTTTCACATATCCTCCAGCACACAGGACTTCTATAGCTCATGAGATCACCTAAAGTTTTGCTAAGCACAGATCAAGAGGACATAAGGAACTGGAAAAAAAATCATATTATGTTGTGCACATTAATTTAAATGTGCTACTAAATGTATAAATAGGTCTAGAGAACTGGGTATTTCTAACGTGCCAATTATCTTTGTACTGTGGTACCCCACTCGTTATCAAAAATAGCTTCACTTCAGACTGGAAAAGATTTTCTTCTTGTATGTAGCTTTCTCAAATGGGTTTATTTTCACTTGCAATTGAAGAGATGTTTTAACCAACCTTCGGTGTGATTTTTGGAAAAGACAGTATCCTCCAGAGGCAGTTTGTGCATATTAGACCAGAGCATCTGTTTGGGTCCATGGGAGTCTTTAGGCTGGTGGGCACAGACAAGCACTTTGCAAAGTGACAAAGTGAGCTCAGCTGGATGAGCCAGGCCTGGAAAGACCTACAATCTATCCTGACCATGCTAATTTTGATGCAAGGAGGTTGATAGGCTCAACCATTCACATAAGTGTTCCTGATGGCAGAGACTATAAAAAATTATTTTGTAGAATTCAGGTGCCAAAATCATTCGGATGCACACACGGACAAGGGAAGGGCTAACATTTCTCTGGGTCAGCTGCGTGGAGGAGCTCTAAAACAGAGGTTGTGGCTTTATTTAAAATAATGCTTCCAACAGATAGGAATTTATCTCATCACAAGAGTAATCCTGTGAAAGGAGTGCACACTTCTGTACTCATAAAAAAATGTCCTAAGTTAAACCAACCTCTGGAACCTCATCTGGCATTTTGGTGGTGGCTCTCTTTCCCAGCCCTGTGTATTGTGAGAAGCTGAATTTGGGAAATATACACCAGCAGTCAGTTTCCGTACAGAGTTTTTGAGCTCCAGAGGAAAATACACACTCTTACTGCTGCCCCTCAGAAATGCAAGAGGAAAAAAAATATCCCAGTGTCTGTCTTACTCAGTTCTAAGGTGAGAGGCCTGAATTCCATGACTATTTAGCATTTGGTAGTAGTCCCTGGACCAGGGGTCAGCATTCATTAACATACAAACTGCCAGGCTACAGAATCTGCAGCTCAGGAGTCCTCCTCCAAAAAGTCCTGAACTCTTTTGGAAGTAGTAAAAAAAGCCTGGAACTCCCACACAGGAGCCAAGTGTAACAGTGCTCTGACATCTCACTGGTTGCCACTGCAGGGACAATGCCTTTGGTCAGAAAAAAACATTGCCATCAAATGAAGGTGACAGGCCTGAAATTCCTCAGCCTTCCTCTCCAAAACAGAAGTTTGAAGGAACCACTTTGCAACCACAGAGGTACAGAGCATCCTTCCAATAGACGGGACATGTCAGTTAGGCTTTTCTCTGGGGAGCATAGTTTAGCACTCTGCCCTACTCACTTTCCATCCAAATGATCCATCCTTGACATGCCACAGGGACAGGCACAGAAGTACCCTCTGATAAGAAATACAAAATCAGTATAAACCTCAAGACAGCAGACTGAAATGACAATGTCCATCTCAAAACAGCACTCACCTACCTCTCTAAGATGGTGTGATCTGGAAAACATCTCTTTCCTCCATCATTTCTCCTTCCCTTCCTCACTGCTCCTGCTCAGGATGCTGCCCATGCAGTGTCCCTTACAAAAAAAGTAGCACACCCCAGAGACTTGGTGCCTAAATTTGGGGGTTGTTGTACTCAGTAGAGGTCAAAGGTTCAGAAGTAAATCCAAGTCACAGAGCACAATTCTAAGATCTTTGAATGATCAAAATATCACTTTTGAGAGGAGCACATACCTGGGTCCACAGCGTCCTCTAACAATGGGATCAGCTTCTCCTTTTTGATCAATTTTTTTTAAATCATCAAATTAGCAAGGTTTTGATAAAATTGTAGGAGACATCACAATATTTTATGACAGTTTGGGATGGTTTGTGAGTCATCCACCAGCTATAACTGGAATGCAATACAAGCCATTGTAATGCTTTATGAAGAAAGCGCATGTTGCTATCTTGCGACAACCATATGTTCCTCTGTTTGTATATATCTATTATCCAACCCTTACATAAGCCGTTGATGAAATTATCATCACAGGACAAGCACGCTTGTAGCACGGTTGAGTTGATCACAATAAAGTAACGAAGGAATGAAGGAGCTCCATGCTGAGGTGGACCGGCCGCCCGCCTTCGCAAGCCACAGCTGCAGACCTGCAGTCAGCTGCTCAACAGCCCTCACTTTGGGGATGACATGAAGACAGACATTTGGGGCTTGGGCCATATGCCCTTTTGGGAAAGAGCAAAGTAAATGTGCTTTCTCTGGTGCGGGGAGAGGGAAGGGTTGGGGACGGAGTTGAAGAAAAGGCTGGGGAGGAGGTTGCTTCAGTGTTTCAGGGAACCCGTGAGATGTTACTTGCACACATAGAGGCACTCGCACGCCTCAGACTGCAGCAGGGACCGGGACAGCGCAGGTTTGCCGCATCGCAGGAGGCACCGTCGGCATTCAGGTGCATCCCCGGGGGCCGCTCCCCGTCCCCGACTGTCCTCCGTGCCCATCGGGCACTGCCAGCGCCTGCTCCGGGCGCCAGCCCCCACCCGGGAAAACCAGCGGGCAGCGCCAGGGCCGCTTGGCACGGCACGGCTGCATCCCGGTGCCGCTCCCAGCGCTGCTCCCGGTGCCGCAGACGGGCCGAGCCCAGCCGCAGCCCCGGGTCCGGAGCGGTCTGTGCCGGGCTCCGAGGGCCATGTGCCGAGTACTACGGGCACAGACTCCACCTTCCCCGGCTCCCGCCCGCCCCCACGCATCCAGGAAGGGAAAAAGAGGAGGAGGAGGAGGAGGAGGGAAGGGGGTGAAAGGGAAGAAAAAAATAAAGAGGTTGAAAGGAGGGAGCTCGCCGAGACCCACCCTTCTCCCTCCTCCTCCTCCGGGCTGCTGGCCGGGCTTTTGTTTTCCTCCAGCGCCCCGTTTCCCACACGTGATTGCCGTGTTATTGCACAGGGCGCTCGGCGGCGCGGCTGCTGCACCTATAAATACGGAGCGGGCGGGCGGCGGGGCCCCGGGGCAGCGCGGCGCGGCCGGGCGGAGCCCCCGGAGGAGGAGGAAGACGAGGAGGAGGAGGAGGACGCCTTCACCGCGGTGCAGGTGCCGCCCGCCGTCTTCCTGGGCGCCGCGGCGGCGGGCAGCCGCGGCCGCCTCAACTCCTTCACGGCGGGGGTGCTGCCGGCGCCCTTCGGCCGCACCAGCCCCCAGGGCAGCATCGGCGGCAGCGGAGAGCTGGGGCAGCCCGGCCCCGCCGCCGCCTTCGAGCTGCAGCGGTCCCGGTAAGCAGCGCCGCGGGATGAGGGATGCTCGGCATGCGGGGATAGGGGATGCGCAGGATGGCGATGGGCTCGGTTCGGGCGGGCACGGCCGCCGGGCGGCCGGGGGAAGCCGTGGGGAGAGGGAGGCCCGATAGCCGCGGGGCGGGAGCCTCCCTCCGCGGGGCCGGCTCCGCTGCCGTCCGGCCGGGCAGCAGCGGCAGCTGCGGGGATGTGCGAGCGTGCAGGGACAGGTCCGCGGAGGTGCCCGAGCCTCCCGGGCCACAGCAGCCCGTCGGTCGGTCTGTCCCGCCCGGCGCGAGTGGCTGAAAGTTTCGGTGCCGCTCAGCAGCCGTGCCCGCAGCAGCCCAGCCCAGCTGCGCAGCGGCTGTCACCGTCACCCCGCGCTCCCGGCCCGTGGGGGATTCAGCCCGTGCTGCCGGTCCTATAGGACAGCAGGCTGGGAAGCGGCTCTGAGTCAAGTGAGCTGTAGCCAGGTCTGGTGGCCCGCAAGGGGGAAGGAAATCTTTGCATCGAAATCCACGGATTAGGGTGCGAGCGCATGGTTTATGCCGCGTCTCGCTAGCACCCTAAATAAGCTCTTTATCTCCAAGCACTTTGTTCCTCTGGGCCGTTTCTTGCCACTGGGTACTCTTTTGCCTTTTAATTCCCGAAGGAACAACCTCACCTGCTTCAGCTCTCAAGCTGAGACGTCTGGCTAAGAAGGTGCAATCATGTAAAAATGTGTGAATGCCTGTGGATACAAAATCACCTTCCTTTACTTCCTCAGCAACATACTCAGATATCAAAGACGGAGGGGGGGAAGAAGCTGGAGGAAATGACTGTGCTCCCCAAGCCCACATCGGCAGCCACTCCCACATTCCCCATTTGCCACACTCCCTCCTTGTTTCTCCCTTGGACAAATAGGTAGACTTTGAGTCACATGTTATTGCAAGGGTTTATAAGGGTAATTGAGCATAGATCGCTGCAGAAAAGTCCCTTTCAAAACCAACCAGCTTGGAGAAATTGGAAGTATTCCAGGGGAAAGTTATCTTAGCTGCATGCCCCACTCTTGGTTGGTTTTTTTTCCTCCCCCTTCCATCTGGGTCGTTCTGGTGGCTTTTTTGAGCCCCTTTTCAGGTGCTGTGCTAGAGGGAGCCGCACCTTACCAAGCAGAATGCCTACTGGTGAGTTACCACCCTTCTGCTCCCAGTCATGTGTCTCTCAAAACATTTTCTGCAGTGACAACCCTCTAATTGCTCTGTGGATCAGCTGCACAGCTGTGTCACACACACACTCACACTCATGCATTTCATTCTGTGGTGTGATTCTGCCCACAGCCTTGTGGGGGAGAAGTGACCCACAGACCATGATTTGGGAATTGCTTTTCTACTCTTGAACTTAGCATTCAGGAGATTGGGTTCTTCTTGACCTTCTACTTAGTGAGTTTATTGTTGTTGCACGATTCCAGTATTACTGTTCTTGATTCCCAGGGATCATCCTTGGTTTTTGTTTCTTGCATGCTTTATCCTGTGCTTGGTTCTGGGAAAGATACTTAGATCTCACTGATATCAGTCTACTTAGCCCTTCCTCTTCCAGTCATTTTTTCCCTTTGCTCCTTTTTCCCACTTTCTGAAAGCTTCCTTCCACAAACTATTGTTTTTTTTGTTTTTTTTTTTAATTGCTTGAGAACAGAGTGGAGTTTAAGAGGGAAAGGTAATTACTGTTCTTGTTTACAACCTAGAAATCCAGAGTCTGGCAAGTTCAGCTGTGCTGCTAGCATGCAAACAAACTGAATGGATAACTCAAGTCCATGGCAAGAGAAGTCACCTAAGGAAACCTTTCCAGGATGCTCTTCTAGTCCTGTAGCAGCTGTCATTTGTGCTGTATATTTGCTTGTGATGCAGGCTGCAAGGAAAATTCTGGTTTTCTCATGCTGTTTGTTTTCTTGAGAGCTAGATTCGGTTGTGGTGGAGACTTTGCATTACTCCACTGACAAGTATGAGTCTTTCCATTGTAGCACTTGCTAAAGGCTGACCCTGGTGTTGGGAGAGCTCTGGGTAATGTTCCCCACCTTTGCTGGCTGTCGTGGTGCTGCTCATGTGCAGTCCAGGGCAGACTTTGCCTTCAATAGATCTGTTTCTGTTCTGGAAAAAGTATATATTTTTAAACATCAGGAACGGGCAGCTGTAGACCACAGAGCTTGCACAGAATGTTAGTGGCTCATCTTCTTAATGAAAAGGTGTGGTAGGAGCTCTGGCTGCTGGGTTCACCCATGGCTGCACTGAAGTTAAATCACAGGCATGCACCGGGCTGGCACAAGCCCAAGAACAGAAGGTTTGAGCAGCCCTTCTGCTGCTCTCTTAATGGACAGGAAGGAGCCAAATCCCCAGCACACAGCCAGCCCTTCCCAGGGTGACAGGGTGAAAGTCACAGCACCTGCCTAGGGACAGGCATTAGCTCATCTGAAGGATGATGCAGAGAGGAAAATCACATTTTTTTGGTAATTCACGTGTGCACTGGCTGCCTTTCCTCCCACACTTCTGCTCTCCTTGCAGTGAGTGAGCTTGAAATTGAGTTTGAGGAGTTATTTGACAGACTAGTTCTGTGTGCTGAGAAATGTAAGTTATAATATGAAACCTTTTTCTGTTACAGTATCAGGCAAGACAGGTTGCTGTATGTTGTTATTTTTATTTGGTTTTCAGAAACCATTGTGAACATATAATCAGAGTTCCCTGGCTTTTTTGTTTGTGTTAGCAGTTTGTATAATTGCACACTAGTTTATATTTAACAAGGTTATCATTAATGTGGTTTGGGTTTGTGCTCTATGTGTATTCACAAGAAACAAACGATACAAAAAAGGAACATGGGGCTTCTAGCTGCTTGGAGGCTAGTATGTAATTATATATGTAAATGGCAAAAAATAGGCTTGTTCAGAAGTTGGCTGGTTGGTGCTAAAGGCTCCTGTCTTCCTGCAGGAGTTTGTTTCAATTTGTAGTGAATACGTGGACAAGGACATGAGTTTATTAGAAACTAGAGCCAGGGTTTCTTTCTTGTGAAATTATAATTCATTTTAATAGAATAATCTGAAATTAGTGAGGAGTTCTGTGAAACCAGGTTTCAGCAACACTAGTTTAAAATAATTGCACGTCGTGTGGATTAGGTGATGGTCCCTATTTTTGTGTATGCCTAGAATTCTTGTTGCCATAGTTTTCTTTGGGAAAAGTATTGCTGTTTCCATATGTGATGTTTCCTTTTCCAGTGGGTCAGGTGGTTAGAAACAAGCACATGCTCTTTTTTTGTGTTGTTTGATTTTGGATTTTTTTTCTGTTTTGCAAAGGAAGCAAATTGGTGATTTGATTTAGAGTTCAAACGTTGCTTACAGTTGCATTTGTCTGTGTCACCACGTCAGGTTTGAAGGCAGATGGGCAGGAGAACTCCTTCTGAGAGGAGCAGGTGCTGGGGAGCAAGGAGAGAGTATCTGCTGAGTAATCACTGAGGAGAGGTCCACTCAGAAGGACACTGAGGTTATCATGGTCCAGATAGATTTTTCTTCAGAATTTACTGACCTACAATATATCTCATTTCCTGATTAATTCTAAAGTTAATTTACAGTTAGTAAAGCTTGTGAAAATTCAATTTATTTCTACCTATTAGAAAGGACAGAGATGCATTTGGCCTCGTTATTTATCTTCTGGAGCGATGCAATGAATGCTGGAATGGTTGACTTGCTTGACTTTTTTAGGGTTTGCGAAGTTCACTGGGTTGTTAGTGCTGGAGGAAGCCTCCGGGATGCTGAATCCTGCCATTAAGTATTTGTGATGAAGGGTTGAGAGGTCACAATCCAGTTCCCCATGGCCTTGGGCAGGCAGGCAGTGCAGTTTCAGCCCACAGCAGAAGATGCCTCCAAACTGAACACTCAAGAGACAAAAACAGAGTCTCTCAGAAATAAGTGTCTTGCAGGCAGAGTCCTGAAAGGGAAGCAGAACAAAGAGCTGGGGGCACCCTCCACCCCATGGGGTCATCCCAGCATCAGGAGGTGGCTTGTGAGCTGCTGGAAACATATCAGCCCTTTAGTGTGTGATGGACACTGCTATTCACTGAACCTAAAGCCCTTTGGGCAGCCTGAATTTCAGAATGATGCGTACAAGCATAGCATGAAAACAGTGATTTAATGGTCTGAGAAGTCAGTGGGAGGTGCACATGCTAAACAAAGTCTTTTCTTAGGTGTGTGACCTTGTATACCACTGATAGCTGCTGGCTCTGAAGAAGGGGATGCTTGCTGACCTCAGCTTCAGGAGGCTAAATTCCTGTGCCTCCCTGAAGGGGGAATGTTCAACAGCAGGGCTTAGACTCAGGTAATAGGGGCTGTTTCTGTAGTAGCACACAGTGTACAAGCTCCATGAGTCCTGTAAGGAGCACATCCTTCCCCCAACCATGCTGAGAGGCTGGTCCTCACGCTCACCATGAGCTGTGCAGGGACACTCACTGGTGCTGCTGGGCTCTCTGGCTGGGCACATGCTGGGCTTGGCCAGCCCCACGTCACACAGACCAGCTTTCACCACCACAGGTCTCTGCCAGCCATTTCCCTTGCTCAGGGCACAGATGTTTGTGCCTCCCTCCGTTACTTCCTTTGAAAGTGGTGGAAATGGGGTCAGCTTCCAGGTGTTAGTCGAAGCTGACCAGTGGTTGAGACATCGTTGGAGTAGGATGACACACACATGGATGGACACCATAGGTGCAGCACCCTTGTTCCCTTAGTACACAAGCTTTTGAAAACAAATCCCACAGGAATTTTCTCTGGCATATTTTAGGTTCCTATTATACTATTTAGTGAGCATCTCTGTCAGATAAAAAAGGTTATTATTCATCAGACAAGGAGCAAACCCCTTTGCTGTCAGTTCTGAAGAGTAGAACAGGGGGACAGAACATGGTATTCATCGGTACTGGGGAATTAATTAGAGAGCTTCACAGAGGGACAGATGCTGAGAGGCAGCTGTGTCTGCCAGAGCCTCAGGACTCTG